CTTGCTCCTGCTGTCTTGCATTAATCCCTTTCGGGTTTTTCAACATTCATTCCCTGATAACTAGCGAAGCGACGTTCCGAAACCATCTTTTTGTTACGCGTGGAAATAGTGATATGGTATAGGCCGGTGTTTTGTATTATTTGAACTAGTGACGCAAGCAGAAACGCATATTGCAAACATTCGGTCAACGGAAGCAGACGCATGGTAACGTATGCATTACAATGAGACGTCTAATCAGTTGGATTTCATGTCCGAAAATGAAAACTTCAACGATTGAAACCATCTTTACGACTATTCTGGAGAGAAATGTTAATTTTAAAGATGGAAAAAAGAAAGTTTGTAGTGCAAGAGTGGGAGAAACTCGAAAAATTGTAATTTGTGGCAGGCAACAAATAATGTACTACCGAAAATTCTCCCACACAATAACAAGAAAAAGAAAAACTGATAAATATAACTAACGTACGCCAATATAATCAATGGCTGGTAGTGGTATAATAACGTGTACTTCATAGAATACGTTATTGTGACCACCTTCTTCGAACACCCCTGGATGAGCAGATTCTTCTTGCACAACATTCTGCGTGATGATGTATATATTATGATCGGTTATTGCAAGAAGCCTAAACTTCAACATCGAGGCTCAATAATACGCACATTGTCAAGGATATCTCTACCTCTGCTGAGGCGTTCCAGCAGCAAATCGCTGGTACACATGATACATACGCAGCAGCCGTTCGCCCTCGTTCACGTACACGTTCATCGCCAATTTCAAAATGTCTCCAGAATGTAGCCTGAAAACACCCATTACTAACTTACTACTTAGAGCACAGTGCGCAGACATAAAAATGATGTGAAAAACCAACACCACTTCGCCTTCAACCAAAGCATCATCTTCTTGATGTTTTTCCTGTGGTAACTCTTCGTACTGAAGGAGGCTATCAAACGACTTTGGTTCAAGCTCTCCCAGGCTTTCCATATTAGCTTGTGACATGGTTTTGCGCACAACCTGAATAAGATATCAAATCAAACTAAGTAAGACAGATAGTGTTCCGCAAATATTTCCATAAAAGTGATTTTTCCAGTAAATAACAAGTATATCGAAACCTCTTCAAACCCTTCACTTCTGACAGGCGGTCCAGATGAGTTTCCACTCGTATTCATTCCAGAATCCGCGTTCTCGTCAGCCTAAAACAATTTCAAGTAGTGTTTTGTATGTTAAACGTAGCTAAAGTACCTTTTCACTCGTGTGATTTTCCTCAAAACCTTGCAGTCGATTTCGGCGCATCCTCATGAGCTCGTCCAAAATCGCATCCTTCAAAAACTATGGATAGAAAGCCTTGTTCCGAACTAGCAAACCTTCATAATGGATGATTGATCCGCTTTGTTGGAGATGGGTAAAGAGAGAAAAAAAGGAGAAAGAAAGGAGAAAAGAAACTATGCCAACCTGATCTTTTGGTGAAGGCACAGCGATGCTTTCTAAATTTGACGGGATCGTTTCACTGAGCACAGGTGGTTGGTTGCGTAGACTTTCCTTAACAAAAAGAAGTCCTACTAAAAAGTTTGAAAATAAAAATAAAATATCGTCACCATAGATAAGCTTATTTAAAAAGGATTAGAAAAGTATGACAAAAACGCCATAAAATGAAGTAAGCGTGAATAACTTAAAGTCGCAGTGATATTTGTTGAAATCTTGGCCTACTTTCACAAGAACCCGAATGATTGCCACAACCTCGAATGAAGACAACTTACTGTTCGCTTTCTCCTTTTTGCTCGCGCCGTGGCTATTGGTGTAACAGGAGGCTCGACAACGACTGCTCGAGCAGGCTCAATGCGAAGACTAAGTGTCGACTGAAAGTTGGGATTTCTTCCGTATAGTTGAGTCACTTTATAAAACAGCAGAGAATCTTGAGAAAAGAATAATTATTCACGAAGAGAAAAAAAACTAATATTTTGCTTTATTTTGGTAAACATTTTTTCTTAGGCTCCACATTACACAGAAACCGCTTTAATTCAACACCCATCAGTTAATCAATATCAATCACAAAAATCCGTTATTAGTGACAGAATCACTAATTAAGACTGCCTACTCCACGACCAAGCTCAAAAATGATAACACTTGTGTACAACTTGATATGGGCTTTGTGAGACCATTGTATCTCTTTGCGACTATGAAGATCTTACTTGCGATGGGCAGCTTTCGCAAAGCCTGACGACTCCCTTAGACGACCAATGCTATACCACGGAAACACGAATCAAAGCGCGAGTGATCAAGCAGAAATCGAAAAAATTATGTGCTAGAGCGACATATTAAAGACTCACATAAAAAGCGAACTGAACATTCACAAGGCTGGTGATCATGTCAGTGACCGCTTCCAGCATACCACCATTGCTCATACATGCATTGCGATGATAAAATCGTTCAATAAATCTCCTTAACGAAATCGAACTTTAATCGACCTACTGAGGAAGAAGCATTGCGATCAATATGATCCTTTTGAAAAAATCTCACCGATTGTTCCTGAATGCGAGCATTTGAAAGTGAAGTGTGCCTTTATTGAATGCATCTTTTAACCATGCGATTGACAGACGGCGGTTATCGATATCACCCCATTCTGCTCGTAAGAGCTGCTGTTGTGTCTTTGGAAGAAATTCACGAACAAATCGCCAATACACTTTATCACCAGAGAGTAGCCTGAAGAGGGCTTCGCATCGCTTTGAATAGTGCCAATCGTTCTAACAACAACATGTGAAAGTGGACCTACCCGTATGCGAAAAACGAGTCCATGGAATTAAAAAGTGTTCTCCCCGTTTCATGCTCCAAGTCGACTATTTCTCGCTCAGTTGACAGCTGAAAACATACCCCACCTTTGGGTATTGACCTAATTTTTTTATTTCATTTAATTAACTATCGTTTCAAATTAAGCTTACAGGAATATTGAAAGAAATTTTTGAACCATAATGAACAAGTATTGAATCACAACCGCTAACCTTGTCCACTAACTTAGCGAGTTTATTTTGAAAAGGTCCATGCTGACTTCGACTAGCACGCACATTTGGTTTTAAGGAAACCGGACTCAACTGATACCTAGGTAGATGAAATGAAGAAGTAAAAAGAATTCCAGAAATAACAGAAAACTTACATGGATTAGTAAAACTGTTTTGGTTATAACATAGGAAGTATCGAGTTGACTCGCTTCTGAGAAATCAACATTTTGGTAGTAGAAGTTGAACAGGCAGATGAAATCAATAGCAGAGACAATAGCTATAAATCCTCCAGTAGCAAAGGTGACTGAGATTCGAAGGTAATGCAGAGAGAGGAAGAAGACTTGGCAAGGTACAGACCGAACAACGACAAAGTAAAGATCGGCTAAGCCGGAGGGGATAATATCCCTAAACCAGTGGCTAGCTACGATGGTATCCTTAAACAAGGAGTGCTGGTAATCAAGGATGGCAATGTGTTGTAAAGTACGTATACCTCGCGGTGACGCTTGACGCGAAAGTGTAAATTACAGGTAGTACTGACAGGCATTAGACACCTAGAAGATGGACATGTGAAATGTCAACGTCTGACCCTCAAACCCGTGGTAATCAAGCTCTTAAGAAGCACTGCTAAGAGGTAAGATTCAGGGGCTCTATAAAAACAGCATGGGCTTTAACTGATTGTCTCCAGTGAAAATTGACCAAACAGCGGACATAACATTGTAACAAATTTCGAAATTTTCCCTTCAAAATCGACAACAGCTCGAACTCATCTAATCAGCGAAGTAAATTTCTATGCAGCTCTAACGCTACTTGACAAAAAGCACGAACGTCATAGGCGTTCATACAGTTCACTCAATGAAATCGATCTCTGCAGCTGGTCAATCTAAAAGACAACTACTTCTTTTGCCCGAAGCACGGCCGCTTGCAGGCGTGCCATCAAGAGGGAATGTGCATAGATATCGAAGGCACCGATTTGGCATCCCAACAAAGTTAACGCACACAAAGCTTGGCAGTGCAAGTTCTGCAATCTACAAACACTACGTGTCACCAGCGCCTTTTCGGGAAGCCTGCGAAAGAAACAGCGAATGAAAGAAACCGTAGAAAACTTAGATATTTCTTTGAAGCACTTCTTGCTTATGAATTTTGCGGTCGCATCCAGGGTCAACCTTAGTAATGATACTTTTCAAAAATTTACGGCTGACCCACCACCACCACCACAATCAGGGTTAGAGGAGATCCCCAATACGACCCCCTTCCCACACCGACTACCACCCTAACCCCCATGGACGTCTCTACAGTATTTGGTGTGAGACCTCGACACTAACCAAACTCCGCACTTTTTCTTCCAGAACGGCCGTCGGGAAGGGCAAATACGACCCCCCCCCCTTCGCAAATAATTGTACCAACGGACAGTTGACCCTGGTTGCACCTTGGCACCTTGTGAGCCTAGGCACCACTACATTCATATGCGTGCACAGCGCAAGCTACTATGTCGAAAACCTCAGTATCATGACCTTTACGGATGTAGCCCTTGTTGCAGCATCTTCTTAAAAGGATTAACAATATTGGTCATCCATGCGCAACATTAACAATCGGTAAAATAAGCAGTTGAAAGAATTCCGTTCTACGAAATTCAACTAAAGAATGAAGATGAAGACTGAAAGGCATTGGCTCTAGAAGCCCTCATGAAACAGCATAGAAACAGCGGTGCAATCCCGTAGGATTTAAAATTAGGTAAAAAGGAGAATTAGACTTACCTATCATGAGAAAAACAAAAAAAGAGAAGTTACAAGTGGAAGTTAGAGGTTGAAAAGTGTTACAATGTGAAAGAGTTGAAAGAGTAAGTTGGGAGCAGAAAAGGTGAAGGGCCAAGATGTGGTGCACAAAACCGATGAAACATAGAAAGCAATTTATGGGTCACAGGAGCAAAAGAAAAAAAGAAAAGAGGAAGACAACCATAACACGAAGCCCGCCGTGAAGGAAGCAACATTGAATGTGTCGTGATGTTGGGCAGTGTGTGACATCTGCACAGAACATTTCACAATTGACGACGCACCACGTTGTCTTTTCTCGCGAATTGTTCGCGACTGAATATTCCTTCGATAGATCGCAAAGTCAGCGTTTTTGTTCCCTGGTAGTCTTTATTCTAAAAGCTTGTGGTGCATTCCTGGTTCCTTCGTGAGATGTGTTGGCGTCCGTCCACAAAGTTTCTTCTTCATGAATTGATTAAATTCTTTGTGAAGAATTACTGTTTTTATACACTCTTTGAATATGTGTCCCGGCTTGACATTTAGGTCGTTGAAGTGAATGAAGCTTGCGTTATTTCAGATCCGGTATGACAATCCTTTCTAACGAAGAGTTCCTCAAGGAATTAGGAGCGATGTATATGGATGCTCGACTTGGTGGTCCGAAGTCTGTTTACGTTACCATGAAGCCATGTACGTGCAGTTTGAAGTTGAAATAAGAATGGGTACAAGTGTATTTGGAGAGGGCATCATGGCGCATTAATACGCCTGAAAGCAGTAATCTCATTTCTTGCTTGAGAGGGGGAGGGGAGAGGATTCTATTCAGAGCAGTTGGGCTCGTTAAGCCAGTGTGAAATATGAAGTTAAAAGTGAACATTGTTAAGTTCTCACTGAGTCGACATAAATCCAGTTAAGCGATAAAGTAGTGTCGCGATATCTAGGGTGCTAATTTAGTTGGGAGGGGGGACCACGCGGCGGCGCGGCACTCTGGTCGTTTGCACTTCTTAGGCTTAGTCACAGGGTTCGTTACTATTTCGCCGCACCGTGGCACTTTCGAAAAAGTGGCACTACAGACTAGTCCTTAAGGGTGCAGACGAAGAGCGCCACGCCTCCGAATCGCCCCCCCCCCTCAACTAATTGAGCACAATCTTGATCGTGACTTCCCATATTGCGCTAGCGGTAGGTGCTTTGAAGCAGGTGTCTTATTTTTGTTTGTTTCAAGATGTCTAGGTTCCGTAAGTATTTACCGGCGCTCACGTACAGTCGATATCCGAAAGTTGGGGTAGGCGTGTCACCGGAAGTGACGTGCACTTGATAGAAGTTGCGTGGATAAGCTGTTGCCAGCATGCTTTGCTGATATCCAGCGATGTATGTTGGAAGCAGCTTATCCACATAGCTTCTATCAAGTGCACGTCACTTCCGGTGACACGCCTACCCCAACTCTCGGATATCGAGTATATTTAGTGATGGACGAATACCTAGCTAAGGATTTAAAACCGCCATAAACATTTTTTGTGAGTTTGAGGATGAGAGGTGGGGGGTCAGGCGCTCTAAATTGTGAGCAAAAGTGTGTTAAGCAGGAAGGGTGATAACGTCCTCCCGAAAATCCTCATCCCCGGTTCACACGACACGTATTTTTTCTCGTCACTCCGCACTTAGACCGCACAGCGACTTAGAAGCCAAAGAAATGGCGTAGAAATGAAGCTCTTGACACTTTCTAGCTAAATAGGGCTTGGCGCAAAACTAAGATTCCGTTGCCCGTACCAACTATCGCACTAAAATGTCCAGCTCTCGCTCGTGCCCTGATACGACCACTAACGATAAGTGCCTTTGTTGTTGTTCACGCGATTTCGTGCACGTTTTGAAATAGGCAACTCATCAGTTACGACTAATTTTTCGATCAACTGGTTTTGTTGTATTGCAACAAGGACCGATGAATCGCCTGGGGCCGTGAGGTATGCTTCCCCGAATGGAGAGGGACCCTTCCCTGGTAAGGGTATGCTCTCCCCGAAAACTCTCGGAAAAAGGCAATGCCACCTGGTTCTCGGGGATGTCTCCTGGCCTGCATGTCAATCACGGGGATATCTCCCCGATTGCATGTCAATCGGGAAGATATCCCCGAGAACTGGTGAGGCGTGGCCTTTCTCCCGAGAGTTCTCGGGGACAGCATACCTTACCAGGGACGGGTCCCTCTGCTGTTCGGAGAAGCATACCTTACGGCTCCTGGTCTTCTTCACAGTTACGCATTGACTCTCACTCCGTTAATTTGAATTTGTTTGCTTCATTTTTTTCTCGTTTAGATGATGGGCGAACGAAGCCGCTACCAAAAGAGGGAGATCCACCACCATCAGAAGGCAACAAGTGTTTGTTCCGTGCTAAGCTGGGGAGAAAGCGCATCAGTACTGTGGTTGGTTATCATGCATTTTTATACCAAAATTAAACTTGTTTTGAACATTGCTGGGTGTTGTAGAAGCTTCAGTGGGGAACTTTTGCCTCTTCCCCGATGCATAAATTACAGTTACGCAGAAACTTTTTGCAGGTTTCTTCAAAGGAAGTGAACAAGTTTCACCTGGCATATGTCTCGGTTCTGAGAGCGAATATGGATAACCTTGAAAGGAGAAAGAAAACCGACGCTATAAAGACGAAAACAGCGCCTAAGAAGACCAACAAGTCTTGAATAGTGGGTTTCATCGTGATGTTCAAATTGTTTAATAAGTTATTCCCTGGATCGACGTCTTCTTTCTCATTTTTTGTGTGAGCTCTACAGTTCAGATGGGAGCGTTCCTCTTTCAACGTTCTTTTAGAGCGCAGCTCTACATGCTGTGCACCTTTTTGAATTGGATTTGTTTTTGCACGCCATGCAGGTCAATTCTGTGGTGTTTTAGTTTTGTGAGCGCATGATCCATATTAAAAATAGGAGCGGAAAGAGTAGTGCCATAAAGATTACCTGAAGCGAACGTTACGCTGCATCGTGGGGTTATTTAGATTTAGAACCTCACACCACACTTTTTTGTCCGTGATTTACATTTCCTGCTGTCTGATCTATGTCGGGAAACATCATTTAAGAAGGGTGGCAGCGCAGTAGTTGTGGCTCTGCACATCTTATCCTTGAAGTCACATCCGCGTTAATCCTTCATATGGAATCTCTACCCACTCATAACACTGCCATTCCTTGCTGTCCTCACCTATTTTTTCATGTGGCAATCGAATGAATTGTCCCATTTTGGAAGAACTCAGCTCTGTGAAAAATCGGTATGAGTATTCACCACGCTTGACCTGTATATATTCATTGGCAAGTTTCGCTTCATTAGTTAGGATTTAATAAGAAATCCTTTTTGAAGTAATAATAGGTTATTTCGTGTCATTAGGTCAGTTGCTGTTGTCTACCAGCTGATTACTATTTAAGTGCTAATGTGGTGAACACAGCTTCATCTGTTTAAGTTTTTGTTCATCTATTATTTTATAGTTATTTGCTGTGATATGTTCTGTTGTTTTTTTGCTTACCTATGAACTTTTTCTATGAAGACATTTTTTGAGAAGTCTGCGCACTCCTAATCGTAATCGGCTAACATTTGCTTACTCCACTAGTTTGTATTTCAGTGTTATTTGCACGACACGATGTCGTTAGCGGGGGATCGGCACGCTAGCCGGCGGTCGATTCTCCACGCAATGAAACATCGAAGTTAGAGGCCAATATGGGGAAAAGGAAAGGAAGGGGAAAAGGGAATTCTTAGAAACGTTGCATTAACGATCTTTCGTACTTCGGTTCTCGTGGTAGAAACAGACATGGGGTGAGGGTGTCGTGTGAGGGGATCACTTCGTGGCGGGTGGGGTGAAGAGAGGCGTTCCAGGGGCGGTATTCAATCCTTCCCCCAGGGGGATATATCCCCCTACTCTGATTCAATCCTCTCTGGGGGGACAAAAAAGGGTTGCGTCATAGGACCTAGCATACCTCTGTGTTTCTACCTGCCAGACAGTTAGAGCAGCGCTACTACCCTCCACTGATGAAGCACTCTTTTCCCTGAGGGTCGCGCTGCTCTAACTGTCTGGCAGGTAGAAACACAGAGGTATGCTAGGTCCTATGACGCAACCCTTTTTTGTCCCCCCCAGGATTGAAGAGATTGAATCAGAGAGTTGGGGATATATCCCCCTGGGGGAAGGATTGAATACCGCCCCAGATGAGTACGAGGAGGGTCTGGAATCCTTCCGATCAAGCGACAACGTGAAGTTGACGAATGGCCTATAAATTGCGCAGAGACAGCAAAATAAAGCATCGCAAATCCCGCCGTGTTCTATACGAGGCTCCGTAACAAGTGCATCTCATCGCACCTCGTCCAAGCTACTTCATTGAAACGCGTCTGGCGAACCCTCGCCATATCATAGCTAGATTCCACCGACTCGCCAACTCGTCCTCTCCAGTGTTTTAGTGTTACTACAGCACGCACCGCGCTCTGTCTTGAAATGTGGCCAGTACGAGTGACTAGAAGCCTATGCAGCTCGCACCAGCCCCGTCTATCGTGGCAATGCCGGCTACCATTCCCGAGCAGGACCTTGAGCAGGGTGCGGGCCTAGCCTTACTAAAAGTCTCACCCGTGGATAGGAGGTGTTGGACACTGAAACACCTAAGCACGGGTTGACGGTCGGTGGATCTAGTTTATTGAAAGGGTCTCGCTAACGCGTTTACGTTAACTTAGTCATTCCCACGTCAACATTGAAACGAACTCTAGCGTAATGATTGGTGATTCCATTTCTTTGAACGTAAGAAACACTCGACCGAATGGGCGATTTAAAGGATTACGATAAGGACGTAGGTCGAGAAGCAAACTTACTCAGTGGAGAGACAGGCTGATTCTCAAGGGTACGGACCGACACGCAATACGCAGCGAAGGGATACGCCTTCGGCGACGCGGCACTGTCGGCGCGACACGCCCACCAACTGGCCGAGCGCTCACCGCAGATCTCGTTGAGCAGAAAGAAAGAGAGCATTAGCGTGAGAGGGCAGCAACGATGAGAGTGGCATCAATGCGCAAATCAACGGGCAAGGAAGGGGTCCCATTTCTCGAGTTTTAGGCCATTTTTTCTTGCATCTCTGACCCCTTCTAACTTAATTTCCAATGAACTGCCTTTTCATCGTAAATTTCTTCACCACAGAAACGAATGGAAGTGTTATCGAACTCGAGAACTGATCATCAAGTTCCCCACCTAGTTGAGTTTGAGTGTGGGGAACTTGATGAACAGTTTCCGCCAGAGACAACCGTACGTTGGGAAATTCCAACCGAGGAAGGTGGTCTTCGTTATTTCCGGAAGGGGTGGTATTTGGCATTTTCTGATTTGGTGGTGTAAATTGAAGGGGTTGTGCTTTCCTGTTCGTAGCAGAATTGGTATGGACGGAATCGTATGGAGAAGTTCCATTCCCAGGAGCCTTGTTATGTACCTGTTGGGTCGACACCTACTGATTGATTTCTGGAGAATAGATTTTGAATTATCGCACATTCATGGAATTATTGCATTTGGCTTGGAGTCAACATTCATATGAAATCAACTTTTATCGCGAAATTGGAAACAAGGCAAGAATGGGACAACGATAGCCATAAGGCAAGCAATTGCGTTATGACATCCACCAGCATATGAATTAACCCGAATGTTATGAGTTAGAAAGGTATAGTAACGAACAAGATATGGAATAGATTTCAAAACTATGGGGTCCTGTTTTATAAAGTGAGCTATGTATTGATTTCATGCACACGTAGTTAGCATAAAAAAACATAAATTATCACATTATGCGCTGAAGGGGCTATGCAAAGTGAAAAAGTAGCTTGAATAAACAAATTAAGCAGATTCGAGAAAACAAAGGAGGCATCGCACCTCACAATTTCAGACATCGAGTTCTAGTCCATTAAAAGTTCCCTATGTGGGACAGGGAAAGTTCCCACGGTCCTTTCATGTCCAATATTGCGTACAAAGTATGCGTGAATACGTGTGTCCTCATCACTTAGGCTCTCCATTAACGCCGTTTTGGTTTGATTTTGTGCTACCGTTAAGCTCCTTTCTGAACAGTTCCGGAATCTGAAAAAAATTGATTGACGCGGCAGCCGGATATTAGGATTCGAATCTTATATCGAAGCGGTGAAGGTGACGCCTTAGCTAAATGCGCTGCGTCCTTACTGAAGTTAGCAGGTTCAAGGTATGCCCCAGGTCATAATGGTGGGGCATTTCCCACGAATATGAATGTATTGGTGCGAAATGGGCCGGCAGTAAAGAAAAAAGGAAAAGAATCCGTCGAAAACGCTTAGGTTGAGGGCTCACTCACCTTCCTAATCGGCTGTGCTAAGGAATGAGAGACTAAGCGCGGAGAGGAGAGTATGAGGCGAGAGAGCGCAACAGATGAGAGGCGCCAGACAACAGCCTGATGAACATTGCAGCTGCTGCAGCTTACTTTGCAAGGCCCTAGCGCCCTTGTCGGGTGATTTCCATGCACGGAGTGCCACATCTGTGATTGTCCTCTAGGGTCTATCCTACAGCCCAAAGGGAATCGTTCACCCGACTTCTGCCTGTATGTGCCTTTAACGAAGCTCATCAGGATCGAGCATTAGTTGGACTATGTATTATATTATACAACGAGATGTGGGAGTGGTATTTGTTCTACTCAGAATGGGAAAGTATAGTACCTGTCTAGTGCCTAGTACCAGTTGCTTGGTTGTCCCTAACTATCCAAGACATAACCCTCTCATCATGCGCGTAGTGAGCAGCGCCGCTTACCACAACACCACTGCACCGTCAATGGTGGACAGAGTAGTGAGGTAAAAGGGGTACCGACAGGAGGCCGTCTGCGCCGGCAATAAAGGCAGAGTCAGCGGATGAGTCACAGCGCGTACTGTAGTGATTTCGCGTCAAGTTGAATTGATGCACGTCCTAATGACACACCACCCCTGCGACTCGTCATTGACTGCCCTTGGTTCTGCTGCGGCGGGCCTTCTAGCGGGTACCCAGGTAGAAGCAGTGCTATTCTAAAGGTGTACCTTGGAAAGTGTTCCGCATGATCTTTCCACAGTATAGACAATTATGAATTCATTTTCACCTCATTTTCGTCCACACTTTCCACCGTACTCTTTACGGAATCCGTTCGCGATTTATCCATTTCCTCGTCCACCTTTCCCAAATGTGGACCACAGTACAGCTGAGGTGATGAGGTTGAAACCTGCAAGAAAAGTTCAAAGACTTCCACCTTCATA